GTCATTACATCTATTCAAGAAGTCATCTATTCAAGAAGACATCTATTTCAAGAAGTCGTCTGAAAAAACTTTTTTATTTGACAAATTTCGTCTATAGTAGACTATTTCTATGTATTCAAGAACATTACCAATTCACTGTTTATTTTAAGAACAAAGTATTACAATGTCACAACGCTTCCAATTGAATGCATATGGTCTGGTATTTTATAATATTTATACTTATCAAATGACACCGCTATGCAGAGACGATAGCAAATGCGCGCGTGTCTCGATCATTCATGATTAAGTACCTGATGCAATTCGCAATGTAAGCTTAACGCTTTGTTATATATTCTATTCCTTATTCAATTTTCTACCCGACTACGTCGAAAAAAAAGGAAGGTAAGGAATAACGGGTATTGATAAAAACAATGAATGTTTCAAATATAATTTATTAATAAAACGTATCTACATTTTTACAACATTGTGTAACCATTACTAGAGTCTGTTGTTAGAGGCGACATAATTTTATCTATAATATCTTTTGTTGAGTGGTAAATGTCATCCAATAAAATGTTTCTCACCGCGTATTGCACACACAAATCTGCTTCACATTTACACATTTGGTCACTATTCTGTATTTGATCAGTATCATAGATCTCTATTTTAATAACCTTGCTCGCACCACTCCGAAGTCGCTTTTTTATATATGTATAACATGTAGTCTTTTCGGATTTTCTTTTGCGTCCCAATCCGAGCCGCGTTCCATTTGGAGATAAATCTCTTTGTGATGCAGCGCTGGGCACGAAGTTGAATAATTGATCTCCGGAATCCTTAAAACAAGTTGAAAGTAAGTATTAATTACACATCCTCAATTCATTGTTAATATTAAAATTATTTATTTATTTATTATATTTACAGTATATAAAACCTGTACAGGTTTCTCAACAAATTTAATCTAAAGAAAATTAAAAATAAATTTTGGTTAACTTACCGACATTTTATGACAACTTCACAAGAAAATAAGTTTTTTAATAATGATTATTTTACTCCCAATTTACCCGTTTATATTGAGTGAAGGCAGTGCTAATAGGGTTCAAAATTAACATCGTACTTACTGTATTTTTTATTCAATACTCATCAATAAATCTAATATGGAGTGCTCGACGCCGAGAGTAAAAATGACTCCGTTTGTGTTTACTTCCATTTATGATTACTCGACTACAGCGGAGCGAACAGGAGGGTTATGATTTCAGCAGCATACCTAAGTGTATGTATCTAAGTGTGTATGTATTCATCTGTTCTATCACTGAGCCAAAACTGCTAAAACGATTCCAAGTTATGAGGTATCGTTACATTGAACTCAATTATGCCGATTATTTAGGTATCTACATCATATACTTATATAGTCTAAAAAATAAGAACCTTTCGTTTCAACATACCTTTAAAAGATCTCTTCAAATATATCATATAGAACATGATGCAGCAAGTGTGATGTAGTACAATATTTATAAAGATTTTTATGATGAACACCCATGCCCAGCAGTGGGACGTGTAACAGTGTTGATGATATGATATGACTAGTAGTTTTGATACCAATGTTTCGTTGCCGGGGTTTAATTTTGTAACTTTTGTATTCGTAGTATTAAGTGAATTGTTGTATGAAAAATTCTGTAAGCAGGTATATTTTCAATAAAATTATGTTATTAAGATTAATGATAATACAAAATGATACATCGCACACTCAATTCTATCATTTATTTAGTAAGACAAAATTATAGTTCTTATTGCATAAAGAAGAAGGTTGAAATTATACAATCGATTTATTAAGCAAAGAAAAACATTTACAAATGCAAAATATCCAATCAATATTTCACATTTTATTTTTATGCTACCTTATCCACTTAGAATTAGAATCGATATTAGAATTAACTTACCGATGATTGCTGCATATCATACTGAGTATTTGTTTTTGCATTTATGTTGACTGTGCATTTTCCTATTTTGCTTCATATACAAATTACAAATATGGGTAAACGTGACGCGTATGAAGGCCTATATAGACCGGTCCTCTCTATCCATGATTATTGCTCAGATCACCTTCCTACAAGACAACAGGACAGCTCAAAAAAAACAAATCAACCACTGCAAATAACTAAGAACAATGTAAGTGCATTTTAAGTACTAAAATAAATTTATGTTACATAACCGTGCCATCTATTCGAACTATTCATCAATTATAATTAATTATCTATTTTATTCCATTATTTTTTTTCGGACTATTTATTTTTTAGTCCAAATCCGAATCTATTTACTGTGATGAAGAGTCGCGGGTTCGAATCCTGCTGGGGAGCAAAATTAGTGACAAGTACAAATGCGCATACTCGATTCCAAAATGTTTAATATTTTACCTGTGCTTATTTTATCGTTGTCCTAGTTTTACTAATCATTCGATCAGTTTTTGTGAGTTCACTGTCGCAAGATATTATTACCAAACAATTTATGTTTTTATTCAATCATTTTACTATGTACTACTCATATATTTTATTCTATTAGGTCTTTGGCACAAGATTTATTCCTGTCAGAAGACGAGTGCGAGACGGTGCAGCCTAAGCTCTCGAAATCCTCGAAGAAGCATTCGAGATGTGACCCTTCGACAAGTAAGAAGACAGGTGAGCCGTTCACTACCACTGCGCCTAAGAAAAGGAAAACCGTCATCAACCCAATCACCCCCGTCATGAAGGCGGCGACGGCTGAGCTTTTCGGCAGCGAGAGTGATGAAGAAGAAGGGTGCTCGACAGGTTCAACAAAGGGTACGCCAATTTACTCTTACGTTACGCGAAAGCTAGCAAATGGGATAAGTCGTCAAACAGACGACAATAAAACTGGCACTCATTACGTTGAGTTAAAAGTTTATTCATGCAACGAGATCAAAAACGTTGCACCGATAAATAGATGGCGTCATAGTATTATTACTATAAAAAACAGAACGAACGTCAACTCTGAAGCTTGGGCACATCTAACAGATTACATAAAGACAACTCGCAAAGAATTCAAAAATTGCCCACCCTCATTTAATAGTACTTACTATTAGCATTATTTTTACTGGCCTGTATTGTAGTAATTAAATGTGTTTAACTATAAATATATATGAATAAGTAAATAAATATATTATTTTATTCTTAATTTGTAATCTTTTTACTTTACAGCGACATCCTGTGTAGCCAATGCGGTCAAGTGTGACATGTGCAACATCGAAATTCCTCAAAAGAAATATCATTATCATATGAGAACGAATGTACACAAAGAGAATTGTTTATTAAAAACTGAATTCAAAAATATTGACATTATTAAGACTGCATTTAAGAACAGAATTGTGACTTACCGCATAAATCCTGCACAGGAAGTCGAGTACCTCACACCCGAGGCGTTCCTGTACAGTTATAAAAATGATGTTTCGAATGTTATCCATTTATCAATACTGAAACACACATGTCTGAAGTTAAATTTTGAACTGTTTGCTTATTTTGAGTTACCACGGTCAAGTACGCAACAGTTAAAATCTTTTAATACAAAGTTTGATTGCGTTTTTTAACAACACTAATATTAATGAGTTGTATATGAATGCTATAGAAACATTTAAACAAAAACTTTCAGAATTTGAACACTGTGAATCTGGTTGGTCTCTGGTTTCAATAAGTCATTTAGAATTGAATATAAACAAATATTGTCCTATGAGAGGTGGTACGTTCATAGAGCTGCCATCATTTCTCAAGAATAGTAAAAGTTGCATAAATATACAGAATAAAGATGAGTACTGTTTTCTATGGAGTATAGTAGCTGCATTATTTCCCGCCAAAAGTAATGTATGCAAAACAAGTTCATATCCTCACCATTCAACTGTCTTTAAAACAGACGGTATGACTTTCCCTCCGTCGTGTAAAGATATACAATTGTTTGAAGCTAATAATAACATCAGTATCAACATTTATGGATTAAGTTCAAGCAGTTTAGTAACTGGTCCATTATATTTATCTAAAAATCGAAAGAACAATCATGTAAATTTATTATACTTTGAAAAAGGAGTCAAAGGTCATTACTGCCTTATTAAAGATCTTGTACGATTAGTAAAACGTCAGATTAGTAAATTTAAAGGGAATCTATATATGTGTGAGAATTGTTTACGTTTTTTTTCTTCTGAAATTAAATATACAAACCATGATTGCTCTCAAGTGTTGACAGTCTTACCTAAAAAAAATAGTACAATCGGATTTAAACATTTTGAGAGACAGCAAAAAATTTATTTTGTTATATATGCTGATTTCGAAAGTCTATTAGTTAACTGTACAGAGAATGGTAGCGAAAATACACGTAATTTAAAAGTTCATCAACCTTCATGTTTTGCGTATTATATTTGTTGTTCATATGACTCGAGTTTAAACAAGTTCGTTACCTACAGGGGTTCGGATTGTGTAGAAGTGTTTGTTAACAGATTGATTGCAGATGTGAAATGCCTTTATAAAATATTATGTGATAAGAATCCAATGACGCCTTTGACGAAAGAACAAGAAAATAGTTATCAAAACGCTACATCGTGTCATATTTGTAGCCATTTATTATTCGATGACAAGGTTCGTGACCACGATCATATTACTTCTGAATATAGAGGGCCAGCTCATTCACAATGTAATTTGATGTTCAGAGTGTGTCCATTCATACCAGTAGTCTTTCATAATTTAGCTAACTATGACTCACATTTGTTTATTAGCGAATTAGCAAAATACTATGGTCCAATTACAATTATACCGAAAACTAAAGAAAAGTACCTCACAATTACAAAGACCATACATTTAAAAGAATTTACACGTCCATTACAAATAAAATTTATAGATTCATTTCAGTTTTTTGAGCACAAGTTTAGACATGTTGAGTAACAATTTATCAGATGAAGATTTCACCAATTTATCCATGCAATTTAAAAGCAAGCATTTGCATTTATTAAAATCAAAAGGTATTTATCCGTACGATTACATGGATTCTTGGAATAGATACGAAGAAACTAAACTTCCTTCAAAAGAATTTTTTTTTAATAATTTGAAAATGGAACATATAAGTGATAAAGACTTTAATCATGCACATTCTGTGTGGAATGTATTCAATATTAATACTCTCGGTGAATATACCGATTTGTACCTTAAATGTGACGTTTTATTGTTATGTGATGTATTTGAAAATTTCAGAAACTTGAGTTTAAAATATTACAAATTAGATCCAGCCTATTACGTAACATCACCGAGCTTGAGTTGGGATGCTATGCT